TGATCCAGGCCAACTCGCTGCACGACCTCAGCCCAACGATTGTAATAATTATCCGTGTGTTGGTCATTATCATTGCAGTCGGCAAAATATGTAGTTTGGGCCAGCATCTCTCGTTCAAGCTCCAAGTGAAAAGCCTCTCGATGAGCTCCGTTCTGAAGAGCCTCAGCCAATTTGTTGTGGCCCCATCGGGGTCGCAGAGTTTTCGGCATCGTCACGGGAGACTCGTACTGCATAGCTAGGATAACGGGTACATGGTCTCGTGGGGCGCTCCGAGGGATTAGCTGTAGGACGCGGCCAGCTCTCCAGGCAACTCGACAGTGTTTTACTCCAGGTCCTAGTCCCTTTGGGATTGCGAAGACGTCCAATGTTGATTTATCTCCCTGAGGTCCGTAATATGTGGGTCCCGACTGCAGCGTATACCTTCCAGGGGCCATGAGGTCGAGGTCTAAAAACATATTTGAGAATATCTCTCCAGATGGGCCGTTTTTTTAGGTGATGGGGTCCGATGTGGTTCTGGCCGGGGTCTACCAAGCTTCCGTCTTCCCAAAGTCCGAATCCTGAATTGATGTCCATGCCTATTATCGGGGTACTTCGGGAACGACACCGTTCGACTCGACTACGTACATATCGCATTACAGTAGTAGCGGCCGTCACTTGGGCCTTCCGTTTTGTCCCGTCCGAGTAGGTGGGTGGTGGGTAAGCACATATGACAGTGATATCCAGGAGCCCAGATTTAATTCGTAATTCCCCATAACGACCTGGTGCATTAGTAGGGCCAGAGACGATTGAATAGATATGTTCGGCACGAAATCGACAACCTAGAATAATACAAACTCCCGCACTCGTGTTGCTGTATGGTGCACGTCTCCATCCATAATGTACTGCAGTGAATCTACCTCCTCCAAGATTCTCTGTGTGGTATGTCCTTCCCTCCCATTCGCGTATACACGTCCCAGGCATCATCAATATGTCCACGTCGAGCTCCTGGGCTATCTCCAGTGTTCTGCCTGCCGTGCATAGAAACAGAGGATTATACAAAGCGGCACGCATGAGACTACACATAATAATCCCACATGCCCCTCGTACAGCTCGACTCATCCGTCAGTGACCGAACATGGCAGGCACTAGAGAGGGACGAACGCTGGGTGAGGGCCGAAGTTGGGGACGCCGCCGCTGCCGAAATCCTTTGGGAGGGAAGATGGCGGCTAGGAGGAGGAGGAGGAGGAGGAGGAGGAGGAGGAGGATACGAAGGAGGAGGATATGAAGGAGGAGGAGGGGGAGGAGGAGGAGGAGGAGGGCACCCCCCAATCCGGCGCCCTCGCTCGAGGCATCCCCGCAAGAGTCGCCAGCTCCAGGGGCCCAGGGCGCGCCTATGGATAAAGGGGCCCCAGGACACACAAATAAATACGCACACAGATAAAAATATTCCCCTTATGTTCCTATATTTCCCAACCATCCTGTGGTGTTGGGTCCTCGTTTTGAAAAGACGGCGCCCCGCGTTCCTCACCTCCTCCTCCTCCTCCCCCCCCCCTCCCTCCTCCCATCATCATCATCATCATCATCATCATCATCATCATCATCATCATCATCATCATCATCATCATCATCATCATCATCATCATCATCATCATCATCATCATCATCATCATCATCATCATCATCATCATCATCATCATCATCATCATCATCATCATCATCATCATCATCATCACGATTTCGGCACACCCCTCACACGTTTCGTGGCCCCATAGGGAGCTCCACCGAAGGCCCCAGTGGCAGGGTCCGCATGCCTCCCCACCACCCATTTCGGCACACCCCTCACACGTTTCGTGGCCCCATAGGGAGCTCCACCGAAGGCCCCAGTGGCAGGGTCCGCATGCCTCCCCACCACCCATTTCGGCACACCCCTCACACGTTTCGTGGCCCCATAGGGAGCTCCACCGAAGGCCCCAGTGGCTGGGTCCGCATGCCTCCCCACCACCCATTTCGGCACACCCCTCACACGTTTCGTGGCCCCATAGGGAGCTCCACCGAAGGCCCCAGTGGCAGGGTCCGCATGCCTCCCCACCACCCATTTCGGCACTCCCCACACCCCTTCCGTGGTCACACGTTTCGTGGCCCCATAGGGAGCTCCACCGAAGGCCCCAGTGGCAGGGTCCGCATGCCTCCCCACCACCCATTTCGGCACACCCCTCACACGTTTCGTGGCCCCATAGGGAGCTCCACCGAAGGCCCCAGTGGCAGGGTCCGCATCCTCCCCACCACCCATTTCGCACACCCCTCACACGTTTCGTGGCCCCTCCACTCCGCATGCCTCCCTTTCGGCACACCCCTCACACGTTTCAGCTCCACCGAAGGCCCCAGTGGCATGCATGCCTCCCACCCATTTCGGCACACCCCTCACACGTTTCGTGGCCCCATAGGGAGCTCCACCGAAGGCCCCAGTGGCAGGGTCCGCATGCCTCCCCACCACCCATTTCGGCACACCCCTCACACGTTTCGTGGCCCCATAGGGAGCTCCACCGAAGGCCCCAGTGGCAGGGTCCGCATGCCTCCCCACCACCCATTTCGGCACACCCCTCACACGTTTCGTGGCCCCATAGGGAGCTCCACCGAAGGCCCCAGTGGCCTGGTTCGTATGCCTCCCCAACACCCATTTCGGCACATCCCTCACACGTTTCGTGGCCCCATGGGGATTTCCACTGAAGGCCCCAGTGACTGGGTTCGCATGCGCCCCCACACCCATTTCGGCACACCCCTCACACGTTTCGTGGCACCATAGGGAGCTCCACCGAAGGCCCCAGTGGCTGCGTTCGCATGCCGCCCCCACACCAATTTCGGCACACCCCTCACACGTTTCGTGGCCCCACAGGGAGCTCCACCGAAGGCCCCAGTGGCTGCGTTCGCATGCCGCCCCCACACCAACTTCGGTGCACCCCTCACACGTTTCGTGGCCCCATAAGGAGCTCCACCGAAGGCCCTAGTGGCAACGTTCGCATGCCGCCCCCACACCCATTTCGGCACACCCCTCAAACGGTTCGTGGCCCCATAGGGAGATCCACCGAAGACGGTACTCACACCAGCATTACTCACAACTGCATATGGTTGGGCCCTTCGCCAGGCTAATTTTGTTTTTCCCAACCATCCTGTGGTGTTGGGTCCTTGTTTTGAAGAGACGGCGCCCCGCGTTCCTCACCTCCTCCTCCTCCCCCCCCTCCCTCCTCCCATCATCATCATCATCATCATCATCATCATCATCATCATCATCATCATCATCATCATCATCATCATCATCATCATCATCATCATCATCATCATCATCATCATCATCACCACCGATTTCGGCACACCCCTCACACGTTTCGTGGCCCCATAGGGAGCTCCACCGAAGGCCCCAGTGGCAGGGTTCGCATGCCTCCCCACCACCCATTTCGGCACACCCCCAAACGGTTCGTGGCCCCATAGGGAGATCCACCGAAGACGGTACTCGCCAGGCTAATTTTTGTCTTCCACCCCCCCACTTCCCATATTTTCGCATCTTTTCCTGAGGATCGACGATGAATTGTGTCTGTGTGTTTCTTTCTCTCTTGACTGGAGCAATCTGGCGCCCTCGCTCGAGACGTCCGCGCAACAATCGCCCCACGAGCTCCCAGCGGCCATTTACCGGAAACGCACTGGGCGCCCCTGGCCCAGAGATCCGCGACGTCGTGATTTTTTCCATACGGCGTCCCCGGAAGTCTCGACCCATTCCCCAGGACCGGCTTTTCATCCTGAATCGTTTTTTGACGGTCCCGGGGCCCGGCGAGGGCCGCCAGAGGCCGAAAATAGGGAACTAGGAGCAGAAGGAGAAGGAGGAGGAGGAGGAGGAGGAGGAGGCGGAGAAGGAGGAGAAGGATGAGAAGGACGAGGATGAGGACGAGCACGAGGACAGGCACGAGGAGGAGAAGGATGAGCAGGGAGGAAGACGAAGGAGGACGGAGGGCGGAGGGAGGAGGGAGGAGAGAGGAGGGAGCGAGAATGTGGATGGTGATGCTGAGGATGAGGAGGAGGCGGCGGAGGAGGAGGGATGACATCCAGCGGCGATCCTGATCCTCACCCTCCTTATGCTCATTATCATTATCTTGATCCTCGCTCTCCTCGTGATGCTCACTCTGCCGATCCTCACTCTGCTAATCCTTCCTTTGCTCCACACTCGCCCGATCCTCACCCTGCTGACCTTCATTTCCCCTATCCTCGCTCTCCTAAACATCATTCTCCACACCCTTCCCTTCCTGCTCCACGCTCGCCTGATCCTCACCCGCGTGACCATCACCTCTCCTGATCCTCTCCCTCGCGAGCCTCGCTCTTCTGATCCTAACCCTCCTCATCCTCACCCGCCGCACCACCGCCTCGCGCCAATTCAGCTCTCGCCCACTAGCGCACGCTCCTTCCTCTGTATACAAAAACTCCCGATCAACCGCAGAGCAGCCGGCTAGTATTAATAGCATGATGACGATATTGGTGTTGGTAACAACATAACAACACGTACAATAGTAAGACTAATGATGGCTGGGGAACCCCGGGTTGGTTTCAGCCTCGATTGTTTTGGCCTCGAGGTGTTGCCTGGTGGCTCTTGTTGTTGCTGAGCCTCATGGGTCTCTTGTCCGCATCATCGTGACGGCTGTCGGACGACCACAGCAACGTGTTGAAAAGGCGCGAGAACACTGAGTAGACAGCGAGTCGGTGGCAAGCGGGGCTGGAGAGACGGCGCCCGTGTCCCCGATACTCGCTCTGGCACGGCAGATATCGGTGCGGAGAAAATGGGCACAGTGCCCAGCAGCAGATGCTGCCCAACATAGACGGCGGCCGCTGCTGGGCGGGCGACGTGCTGCCCTGAGCGCACCACGCCCGCGGCGACGCCCACAGCGAGTCCTGCCCAAGAGAGACAGACATGCTGTCGGCCTTCGTACCCATCCTGTCCGTACCCATGACGGTCGGGGCCTTCCCATTCCCTCCCGATCCTGATGCTGGGGGTCTCGGCCGGCGTCCGGCCGGCGGGCGCCTGGTGCGGGCCGCCCCCGTGCAGCCACTTCCTCGCAGAGGGAAACAGGCCGGCACAGGCGGAGAGACTCGCGGAACGGTCCGCGCGGACGCGCCGCAGGGGTGGGGGCCCAGCGCCGACCCACGGGCATCCGCGCGGGCCTCCAAAGAGGTTCACTGGTTGCGTGATGGTCGATCCCTAACCAGCAGAAGCTCATGACTGCCCATGTTGGACACAGGTTGACAGCTCTCGGTCGCTACTTGTATGGTCAATTCTGAGACCATGTCTGCATCGCAGATCGGGGGTAGGGGGCTGGGAAGGAGCAGGCCACTGCCTGACCAGCCGAAACTTGCCCTGTTTGTGGCCGCCGCCATCGCCGCCGCGACCTCCAAAACCGATCCAGAGATTCGCTTCGGGGTCGGACATCGGTAGGGGGCCATATGTGAACCCTACTCCTACCCCCCACGATTTCCGCGGCGAAGCGAACCCCACCCTCCCTTCAAAAATCGTGGGGGGTAGGGGCAGGGCTCACACGTGGCCCCCTAATCGGGCAACAACGTGTGCTTTGAGCCGATGGCTCGCTGCTCGATCTCCTGGGGAAGCCGCTGACCCGCTGGATCTCCCGGTGGCGCCAGACCGTGCCCGGGGCCATCTCCCGCGGCAGCAGGCTGCCGGCCTGCAGCCTCTCCCGCTCGATCGCCTCGGGGTCGAAGGCGACGCAGTCGTGGTAGGGCGGGCGCGCCACGTGCAGGATGCGCTTCTTGGAGAGCGGCGGGGAGGCTGGCGCCCGGCCCGGCTGCACGACCTCCTCCAGGGCCGTCACGCGCGAGCGCTGCGTCACCTCCGAGATGGGGTCCCCCTCCTGGCGAGGGGAGGCGCGAAGCGCGAGCAAGACATGGGCCCCATGCCGAACTCGAGATCGGATCGAGGTCGAGGTCGAGATCGAATCGGTTTCCACCTGCGCCGAGTCGGATCGCCATCGCATCGGAAGCGGGTGCGCCCGCCTCGGATCGAATCGATCGAATCGAAATGATCCCTGTGGGGGGGCCCTGGCCCGAAGCCTGGCGCGGGACCCCGCCGGACACACGTCATGAACACCGGGCCGTCGAGCTCAGGCCAGGGCCGCCAGCAGGCGGGGGCGAGGCCGAGTGCTGACAAGCTCGGGTCTTCCGAGCATTTCTCAGGGTGGAGGGCTCAGGGTGAAGTCCATACGGGCTAGTGCACCGCGAAGATCCATCCGTCTTGTGATTCACCTTTTGCATGTCCAGGCCTCGAAAATCCATCGGAACGGCATTTCAGATTTCACCCTTTGCCCTCCACCTGAAGAACATGCTCGGGTCCTGCGCTTCTCCTCCTCCTCCTCCTCCTCCTCCTCCTCCTCCTCAAGCTCCTCCGCCTCCTCCTCCTCCTCCTCCTCCTCCGCCTCCTCCCCCGATCCTGGTACCTGCGGATGCCCAGGTACGCGAGGAGGTCCTCCTGCTCCGGCGCCGCGGCGGAGGACCTCGGCGACTCCGGGGCGCCGGCGTCGCAGGGCAGGCAGACCCAGCTCCGCATCTCGCTGGACATCTCACCGGACAGCTCCTGGCTCTGCACGTTGCTGGGCCCAAAGGTCGTCTCCTGAGCTCGGCTGCCCGTGATAATCTGGGGCTCCCAACTTCGCGCTCTCGCGCTCCGCGAAGCGCGAAGCGCGAAGCGCGAACAACTTCGCGCTCTCGCGCCGCCCCCCCCCCAAAGGGAAAAAAGGAGGACGAGGAGGAGGGAGAGAAGGAACGAGGGCCGCGAAGCGCGAAGCGCGAATAACCTCGCGCCCTCGTGGGAGCCCTTATGTAATATATACTTATTATTGCTTTCGTACTCGACCTTAGTTCTTTACGCTCGAGGGACGCTCGATGTCGGGAGAAGGGGCGGGAGGTGGCAACCATGCAGACCCGTGCCTGGGAGAGGCTGTCATGTCTAAAGCCGCTCATTTCTCATCCAGGGAAGATTTGGAAACGTAAGAATTCTGCGTGCTTCGGGCCTACCCACGAGACGAATAAGAAATGAACCATGTGGACGCAACACAATTGGCACGGAGCGTTGGCACGGAGCTCAGCACCAAGACCGAACACGTGGGCCTGGTGCGATGCACTCGCCAAAGCGTATAAATCATCACGCGCAGAACCAACACGCGGCGTGTACAACCCACACGTTTTGAACACGGTGCGTGTCGCGCTTCAACGCTGGCGTATCAGGGCAGGTAAGCTCCTGAAGCGAGTCGAAGATGCCGCGCGCCCCAAGCTGCATATACGAGGGCGGAGCGCACACCTTGCAGCCGCAGCTGAACGCGTGCGTCTTCCCTGGCTCAACGCCCAGGAACTCGTTCTTCGACACGTGCACGCTGATGTCCGTCATGCGGGACTCAGCGCGGCCCGGCAGGGCCCCGTCCAGGAGCACATGCGGCACACGCAGCGCGGGTCTCTTGCTTATGGTGGTGCACAGGGCCATCGCGCGATCGTGCGCCTGCGAGGGGTCCCGGTGCGAGGGCTTCTTCGGCAGGTCGGCCCCCGCGGCCCTCCTGGTCGACGCCTTTGCGCGGGGGCTCGCCAGCCCTGCGAGCTTCCGCAGCCGGGCGTCCAGGTCGATGGAGGCCTCGACGCTCTTGAGCTCCTGGATGAGCGGGCTCGACTCGTCGGCCGTGAGGTCCAGCGGATCGCTCAGGAAAGAGGCGAGGGATCCGCAGAAGGGCGCGAAGGGCGCGCTGTGGACCAGGCGCTTCGCGTCCAGCCCGCGCGCCTCGCCCGGCGTGTCGTGGCAGACGAGCGCCAACGCCTGAGGCCGTGCTTCGGAGACGGCCCCCTCCGTCGTGGCCTCGGTCAGGAACGACTGGCCGCCGTCGGCATGCCCGTCGCCGTGGCTTTGCGCAAGCACCTGGCGCTGCAGGTGCTGCTCCTCGGTCAGGTCTCGACGGGGCCGCCCGCGGGAGTGGAAGTTGCGCAGCCGGAACCGCGCCTGCGCGAGGGCGCCCGGGTCCGCTGCCTGCGCGAACTGCTCGAAGGTCATCGCCTGCAGCAGCTCCCGCCTCCCGAGCACCTCCTCCGCGATGCGCTGCGCCCTCGGCACCATGGCGCGCAGCTGGTGGAGCTCCCGCAGCGCCGCGGCCTGGCGCACGGGGCGCGCGACGTCCAGCAGGCACATGAGGAGCATCTCGGTGAGCCCCCCCTCGACGAGCTCCGAGCACAGCCCCGGGTTGCGCCTCGCGAGGTACATCAGCAGGCCCCACTCGAGGATGTGCGCGGCCTCCGCCCGGAAGGCCTCCGAGAACTCCTCGCCCCCCCGCTGCAGCAGGCGGCCCAGCTCCTCGGCCTCGCCGGCCCCGCCCCCGAGCCGCAGGGCGCGCTCCTGGCTTCAGGTCGGGCTTCCGATTGCGGACGAAGAATGGAAAAAAAGAGCAAGAAATAACAACAACAAATAAAAACGTCCCCGGACTGTTGTGCAGCGATGTTTCATATTCCCCCTGTAGACGGAGGGGCATGCCCGACTCGGTCCTGGCTGTCCAGCGCCTCTGCCACCTTGCGGTGCAGGCGGGTCAGCAGCAGGCTGCCGCACTGCAGGCCCGGAGCCTCCTGCCCGCGCTCCTCGGCGGCGTGGGCCTCTGTCTCGAGCCGCAGCCACGCCTCCGTGCGCCGCCACTCGGCCCCGAGCTGCGCCCGCGCGAAGGGGAAGAGGAGCTCGTCGCAGCCGAAGGCGCGCAGGAGGTGGCACAGCAGGCAGTAGGCGTCCGCGCCCACGCGCAGGTCGCCGCCGCGCAGCAGGGCGAGGGCCCTGCCCACGAGCTCCCTGCGCCTGCCGGGCTCGCCCAGCGGGGCCGGCAGGGCGCGCGCGCGCCCCGCCAGCAGGGACACGAGCGCCTGCGCGCCGATGCGCTGCGTCAGCGGCAGCTCCTGGGACAGGAAGCCCTGCAGCGCGTCCAGCACCTGCCCCTGGTAGGCCGGGTTCGCGCGCAGCAGCTCGCACAGCAGGCGCCCGGCGTACTTCAGCGTCTCCCAGCGGAGCCCGTCCTCCACGCACTCCATGACGTTGGCCACGAGGCCCTGCGAGCACATCAGCTCCTTGTGCTCCCGCCCGTGCGCCGCGAGCCGCAGCAGCACGGCGAGGGCCAGGCACCGGACCTCGTCGGGCACGTCGAAATCGGCCGACAGGGTGCGCATCAGCGGCACGAAGGCGCCGCTCTCGAAAAAGGCCCGCACGAAGGCCATCTCGCGGAACTCGAGAAAGGTCAGGAAGACCTTCAGCTGCAGCGGCAGCTCGTACATCACGGGCAGCGTGACCGTGAACCACGCGGTGAGGCGGACGAAGAAGAGGTGCACCTGGTTCGAGAACAGCTCCTCGAGGCCAGCGGCGGCACCGTCCCTGACGTACTCGAGGAACTCCTCCAGGATCTTCTTCCGCACCTGTCGGCGGCACGCACAAGGGGGCGGCGCGGGGGGGGGGTATTCTGAGAAGGCAGGTGGGCGTCTCGGAGGCCCTCCCAGCGTCCGAGGCAGCCCTCTCAAAGCCTTCAGGCCCTTCCAACAGAGGCGCCTGCCTTCTCCGAGAAGCCCCCCCCCCCGCCTTCCCAGAGGGCCGCCCACATCCCCTCGCGCCACCCCTTTTTGTGCGCGCCGCCAGACCTGCTTGCTGCTCGCGTCGAACAACTCCATGCGTTGCCGCAGCCACTGCTCGCCTTTGGACGTCCTGGAGGCCTGCTCGAATGTGGCCTTGTACAGATTCGGCAACGGCGCCGTCAGCGACAAGGCGGCGCCGACCTTCAGCGGAAGCTGGTCCCGTGCGGTCTCGGAAGCAGGGGGGGGGGGAGGGGGGGAGAGGAGGAGGAGGAGAAGGAGGGAGGAGGAGGAGGAGGAAGGAGGAGGAGGAGGAGGAGAGGGAGGAGGAGGAGGAGGAGGAGGAGGAGGAGGAGGAGAGGAGGACGAGGACGAGAGAGGAGGAGAAGAACGGTTCGACCCTCCCCAGAAGTCTCCCGAGGCCGCCAAAAGCACCGGGCATCTGGAGGCCTCCAGCAGCCTCCCGACGCCCAAAGAGGGCCCTCAGATGCCTCGAAGGCCTCGACTCGACTCTCTGTCCTGGAGCCTCGAGGACCCAGCGATCCAGTGTCTTGACTCCTGTGAGCTGGGCCCCTGGGAATCCCGCCCGTCCCCAGGGCTGGCAATCCACACCGAGCCGTTTCGTTTGACGACCCGGGGCCCGGCGAGGGCCGCCACCAGGCCCCGGAGACGGCGAACCTAACTCCGCCACGATTGCTCTCAACGTGCTCAAGGTCCTGGGAGGAGAAGGAAAAGGAGGAGGAGGAGGCGGAAAGGAGGAGGAGGAGGAAGAGGAGGAGAAGGACAGAAGAAGAGGGGGGAGGAGAAGGAGGAGGAGGAGGAGGAGGAGGAGGAGGAAGACGAGGAAAGGAGGAGGAAATGATGATGATGCTGATGATGCTGATGCTGCTGATGATGATGCTGATGATGATGATGATGGTGATGATGGTGATGATGATGATGATGATGATGATGATGATGATGATGATGATGATCATAATGATGATGGATCATAATGATGATGATGATGATGATGATGATGATGATGATGATGATGATGATGATGATGATGATGATGATGATGATGATGATGATGGTGGTGGTGGTGATGATGATGATGATGATGATGATAAGGAGGAAGAGGAGGAGGAGGAGGAGGAGAAGGAGAAACAGGAGGAGGAGGAGGAAAGAAGGAGGAGGAGGAGGAGGAGTAAAGGAGGAGGAAAGGAGGAGGAATAGGAGGAGGAAAGCAGGAGGAAGAGGAGCAGGAGGGGGAAATGAAGTAAAGGAAGCGGAGGAGGAGGAGAAGGAGGAGGAAAAGGAGGAGGGGGAGCAGGAGGAGGAGGAGGAGGGGGAGGAGTAGAGAGAGGAAAAGGAGGAGGAGGACGAGGAGGAGGAGGAGGGGGAGGAGGAGCAAAGGAGGAGAAAAGGATGATGATGATGATGATGATGATGATGATGATGATGATGATGTGATGATGATGATGATGATGATGATGATGATGATGATGATGATGATGATGATGATGATGATGATGATGATGATGCTGATGATGATGATGATGGTGATGGTGATGGTGATGGTGATGGTGATGATGATGGTGGTGGTGATGATGATGGATGATGATGTTGATGCTGATGATGATGATGAAGATGGTGATGATGTTGATGATGCTGATGATGGTAATGTGGTAATGATGATGGTGATGATGGTGATGATGATGATGATGATGATGATGATGATGATGCTGATGCTGATGCTGATGCTGATGCTGATGATGACGATGACGATGATGATGACGATGACGATGACGATGACGATGACGATGACGATGACGATGAGGAGGAGGAGGAGGAGGAGGAGAAGGAGGAGGAGGAGGAGGCGAAGGAGGAGGAGGAGGAGGGCGGAAGGAGGAAGGAGAAGCAGGAGGAGGAGGAGGAGGAGGAGGAGGAGGAGGAGGAGGAAAGGAGGAGGAGGAGAGGAGGAGGAAAGGAGGAGGTGGAGGAGAAGGAAAGGAGGAGCAGGAGGAGACGGAGGAGGAGGAGGAGGAAGAGGAGGAGGAGGAGGAGAAGAAGGAGGAGGAGGAGGAGACGGAGGAGTCGGCGGCGCGCCCAGGGGTCAGACAGAGGGTGCGGGCCTCCTCGGAAGGCTCCGAAGGCCATCTGGGTCTCCTCTGGGAAGCTCTCCTCCGAGCCTTCCCCAGGGCTGCAGGGGTCTGATCCGAAGGCAAGTCGAGCAGGGGATCGACTACAGCATCGATTTACCCCAAAATCCAGCTTCCCCGCCGAATCTACAAACAGATACGTAGAGTGTCCCGGATCTGCGCACCTTCCTCCGCGCTTCTTGCATCCTCGGCGGGAAAGAAACCCTGGAGAAAAGATCAGTTCTGTCGTCAGTTCCGTAGTCGATCCCCTACACTCGAGAGAGGGGTTTTCTGAGAAGCCTTGCCGCCTTTTGAGGCCTGCCCCCCCCCCTCTCTCATGTACCCCCCTTTGGCGCGCCGCCGAGGCTGCCTTTTTCGGGTCACCTAGCGCGGATCTCCGGCGGCCACGCGGGAGGGTCCGGGCACACACCCAGAGGGTCCTCGGCGAGGCACGCCCGCTGGAGACCGCACCCCGAGGCCGACAGGCCGCCGGGAGCCGCCGAGAACAGGCCCGAGCACCTCGAGCCTCGGGCACGAAGCTCACGAACTGCCCCCTTTCGGCGCGTTCCGCCGAAAGGAGGAGGAGGAGGAGGGCCACAAGGTGTCCCACGAGCAGGTGACACTGTTCAACCTTCTGAACTGGGTGCACATACAGTTCTCGGTTGTGGTGACGTCCAATGACACGGACGCGAAGAACAACAATTTTGGATTCAGTTTCACGCAGATGCAGGGGCTCAGCATCTGTATGTCATGGGAATATGCCGAAAATACGTGGTTATTGTATGGTGGGTTGTATCTAGATATGTATCATACGTGGGTATGCATAGCAGAGTTCTTTCCGTATCAATGGGCTCGGCGTCACCGAGACCACAACAAAGAGATGCACGCTTTACATGGCAACGGACCATCGATGAAGCAAGCATTGGCCAGGGCATTGAAGGCAAAGCACACGCCACAGATGAACAAGAGTCGAGTCCTCACCATGTTGGAAGCAGCAGGTATGGACAAACCACAGAAGATGTATGACCACTTGAAAAAGTTCTCCACGGAGCGTATGGCCAAGATCGCTGCCATGCCCGCCAAGGAGATTGCTGAAGCTATGAGAGTATGGTTGGAAGAAAAGCCTTACGGCGCTACTCCTCCAGCCAAGCCGCAGACGCCCAAGAAGCCGAAGGTCACGCCCCAGAAGCCAAAGACAGGCTGGCAACATCATGCACGCCTCGATCCTGCTGACTGGGATATCCCCGTGAAGCGTGGCCTTCCGCAAGACTATGAGAATATGAAAGCTGTACATCTTGTCACAACGGCAGAGTTCCTCGAACTCGCACGTTTGGATTCGTTTTGGCAAAGACCAGATCCTGTGGAGGCATTTGGATTCGTTCTAGCACAATCGCCCAGTCAGGTCTCAAAAGAATTGTTCATGTTGTGTGGCCAGAGGGGTCTGGCCCCCTGCATCACTCTGTTAGATGTGCCACTCATATACGAAGAGAGACGCTATATCAAGCAGTTGTACGTCTGGCAATATGGAGGATCTACTCAGCACAAAGTGGAACCGACCAGAGTGCCGACGGCAATAAAATGTACACAGGACGAGCTCATGAATGTGGCGATCCTCGAAGAGCATGCTCCCGAGAAGATCTTCAAAGAGCTCCTGAAGTTACACCGTCAAGCAGCAGCAGCCCGCGACCAGCGGGCAGAGACATCAGGTCAAAAAAGAAAGTTCGACACAATCCCACCGTGGAGAGTGCTGGATGCAGAATTGGCAAATATTGTGAAGGCTAAATGCAACGGAGGTGCAGACATGGACCTGCGCTGTTGGAGTGGCAGAGTCTTCAATGAAGATCATCCAGGGCATCGTGTGGTATCAGGTTTGTTCAAAGTATCGACCACACGTGCTGTGCAATTACGAGCTGCATCAGGGCCAGATGGAGTTATCTTCCAGCGATCTCGAGCAGGAGGCATTACCAATACGGCCCTGGACGAAGAAAAGGATACAGAAGACTTTGTCCCATTCCCCAAGGCCATCTCCCTGACGGATGCGCTCAACATGGTCATAGACCTAGAGGGCGGCCGCGGGTTAGGCTACAAGCAAAATGGCGCGCTGTTCTTCAGAGTGGAAAAGTCGAAGTCAGGCCCTGCCTGGCAGAAGTTGCAATCAAGAACCCCACCAGCACCGACCCTCTACGAAATTTCTCCACTACCGAAGCTCGTTGAGGGAAAGCAGATCGTGCAAGAGATATCTACTCAACTTGGGTGGAAGGCAGAATTTGTACATATACGCTCCAGGGGAAGAGGTGCCAAAGCCACGCCAGTCGTACGCTGTCGAGCTGAAGGCCCCCCGTCGGTCTCGGACCTCACCCTGGCAGGAGTCAAAGCGACAATCAACATGGTCAAGCGGCAGAGTGCCACACCAGCCCCATCGGCAACATCCTGGGCTGAGATGATCACGAAGTATGACAAACCTGAGCCCAAGACGGCACCGGCTACTAAAAAGACAAGTTTGGCTGCACAACTCACACGACCAGCTCCTGCTCCGCAGCAAGGTCAGCCAGCGCAGCAAACTCCACCACCCTCAGATACACCACCATCTACGCCAGGCTCCGCGATGTCCCCTGAATTTCAGAAGTTTCTGCTTGAAGCAATTGGACAGGCGGTGACTGCAAATAATCAGAAGATCTTTGCCCAATTACAGCTTCAGGGGCAGGGTCTCGCAAAGTGTTTCGAAGTTCTCCGCTCAGATAGAGGCTTATCCAGTGCTGAGCAGCAACAGGATGAAGAGATTGAACGTCTGAGCAAAAGGCTCAAAGACAGTGCTGCAACTGACATGGATCAGTGATGATGCCCTCACGCCGACTGCGAGGGAAACAAGCACCTGCAGCACCTTCCTGTGGTCCTGCAGGTCTTGCCACTATCCTTTCTGCAAATATTACCAGCTGGAATACTTTTTCTGGCCGCCTTGCTCTCATGAATGCAGATGTCCTTGCGCTGCAGGAGACACGCCTCAATTTGAAGGAGCAGATGGCTTGCACTAAAGCCTGTGCTGCATATGGATACAATGTATGTTTTGGACACCCTGTTCGTCAACAACGGTGTCATGGCGAAAAGTAC